AGACATTAGACATATGACAATAGTCGAGGACAAGGTGCAGAGCAAAGTGGACTGGGGGGAGGAAATTACAATGGATGATTTTTTTTTAAAAGCAAACTGGGGAGGGGTCTGGTGAAAAATGTGCAACTATGAATGAATGGAAAAAAAATCCAACTTTTCTGTATACTTTTGTTAAAATCACAACTAAAAAACCTCAACAACAATCAAGTCAAAGTGTATCAGAGACCTAGAGGTAAAACTAAAACGATAAAGATCCTAACAGACAAAATGCGAACACAGAAGTCCTGGTCTACTGCATAACTAGGCTCATGAACATACAAAAAATTGCACAACCTGGAGAAGATAAGACCAACGAATGAAAACGTCCTAAAATCAAATCCCCGTGCACATCAAGTAAAAATAAGTAAATAAATAAATTCACAGATCCGGAAAAAAACAATTGGAAATGACATTGCAGCTAAGGGTCTCATAACCAAAGTTTACAGAATACTACAGTGTCTCCACAAGAAAAAGACTGGTAAACCAATCACTAAATGGGCGAAAGACATGAAAAGATATGTCCTCTTCACAAAGGAGGACATTCAGATGGCTAAGAAACGCATAAGGAAAACATTCAAAATCACCAGCAACCAGAGAGATACAAATCAAAACAGCAAAGAGATACCATCTCTCGCCAGCAGCAGTCACAAAGTTCAACAAAACGCTAAACAAATGTTGGAGAGGAGGATGTCGAGAGATTGGAACATTTATGCACTACCGTTGGGATTATAAAATGGTACTACCGCTATGTATGGCCAAATGCTTTTAAGCACCCACCCAGTTAATAAAAGTTTGTTGATCTGTCCCTACGTAAATCGGGTAGGGTAGGGACCCTCTGTATCCTCAGCTCATAGCAAAAGGTCTGGCGTCTGCATGAATAATGCAATCTTCTTCCTGTCCTAAGAAACCAATTGGATAGAAAGTCTTAAGATTTCACACTTTGCTGCTCACTAGAAAACTCGACCATCCTGACGATTAACAAGGATGATGAAAATCAGATGGGCAAATATGAGGAGAGAGTTAAACCCAAATAAATGGTGCAGTAACCGTTACGCCCAACAGCAGCCTCAACCCGAGGCGAAGGGAAATTCCCACGGCGGGTGGGCGGGCCGTGGAGGAGCCCGGAGCCCGGAGCCCGGCGGCGGCCCCTCACGTGCGTCGCCCAGACGCAGCGGACTCTCCCGGAAGGCGGGGGTTGTAGGGACCTTCCGCACGTGCCACTGCCCTGAAAGGGGACAGATCGCTCTTTCTGACGAGCCAAACCGAGACCAGCGGTGGGGTACGGGGCAGTTTCAGAGCCGTGAGGAAGACCCACGCATGCGCCTTGGTGCCCACCCAGGATCACAACCCTATGGGTGGAGGAAAGGAAGGTGGCGTTCCCGCCGCCTGGAGGCGCCAGAGCTCTTGAACCTTCCCCTTAGGGAGACAGGTTAGGGAACACGCAGTGCCCAGAAATCGCCCCAGAGGGAATCCCAATCTCCATACCTCTTATCTCATTTTGTTGTCCCGACCGCGCCCCGCCCCTCCCTGAGCCAGCTGCTGGCTTGTTATGATGTGAATTATTTAAGAAGCTTGTAGTCTGACGCCAGCTCTGGGCAATGCCCCCCCATCCTTCTTTCCCTCTCTGGAGGGCACTACCCTGTCCCCACAGTCATCACGGGGTCCTTATTATTTACAGTGCCTCTTTAATACAAGTCACTTTGACAGTTTCAGTGTTTATTGAGGATCTATATATACTATATGCTTCTTGGAAAGGTGGAGCGCCAGGGATGGGTTGACACAGTGACCGCAGCAATGGTCCCAAGTGTGTCAGAGATGATGAGGATGGCACAAGATAGAAAAAGGCTCAGATCTGTTGTTCATAGGGTCACCATGAGTCGTGGTCAACTCTATGGCACCCAACAGCAACTACAACAACCACTTCAATGCAGGCAGGGAGCCCTGGGTTCTCAATAGTTAAACACTTGGTTACTAACAATAAAGGACAGTAATTCTATTGAAGAAAGGCCCTATGATCTGTTCCTTTAGATTGTTTTTGTATATTGTTGAGTAGAAACCAATACATAGCTAATCCTCCTGTGGGTTTTCACCGTCAGTAAATCCCAATGGAGGAAATCGCCCATCTTGCCCTTGAAGAGCAGCTGGTCAGTTCAAACCACTTGCCTTTGAGTTGGCAGCACAATTCCTTACCACTAAGCCACCAGAGCTCCCTTACCAGTATAGCCTAGAAAACCCTATGGGGCCGATCTATTCCAGGACATGGGATCACTATGAATGAATAGCAATCTACTCTAGGCAACTGGTCATAGTAGAATGAGTACTAAGTATAAATCCTTGCTCTCTGAAGCTTATATTAAATAGGATGACACAAATATAAACAAACAAGCAAGATGGTATTAGATGTGCTCCAAACAAAATTACAGTGGCCAGAAAGAATGACTGAGGGAGCTCAATGAAGAGATGAGTGTGGAGCCAAATGATGTCAAGACATTAAGGAGAGAGGCCAGGCAGTTTGTACTTGGGAAAGAAAGAGCAGGAGCAGAAAGAGTGGGCCAGAAGCATTTCCCCAAATAACAAATGTTGGTGAGGTTGCAGAGAAACTGGAACCCTTATTCACTGCTGGTGGGAGTGTAAAATGGTACAACCACTATGGAAGGCAGTATGGTGCTTTCTCAAAAAGTTGGAAATAGAAATACCATTTGACCCAGAAATTCCACTACTGGGAATATACCCTAAAGAAACCAGAACTGCCACCCAAGCAGATATATGCACACCCATGTTTATTGCTGCTTTGTCCACAATAGCAAAGAGTTGGAAACAACCCAAGTGCCCATCAACAAACAAATGGATAGAAAAACTGTAGCATATTCACACAATGGAATATTATGCAGCATTGAAGAAGAAAGAACTAATACAATATTATACAAAATGGGTGACCCCGGAAGACCCTATGCTGAGTGAAATATCTCAGTCACAAAAAGACAAATACTGCATACTGCCACTGTTATATAACAGGACTGATATGGGGGTTGAGGATATTAAGAAAAGAGGGAATAACGTACATGGTATTGAAACAGATGAGGGAGAGAATTGTTTAAAAAGAATATATGATTAGGTATTATTGGCATGACAAGAATCCAAAATAAGAGCTGCATAGAAAAGCAGTCTGGACGGAGCTCTTGTGGCATGGTGGCAAGAAGCTGCATTGCAATCCCAGAGGTATGGGGTTTAAATCCACTAGACGCTCTACTGGAGAAGGAGGGGCAATCTCTTCCTGTACCAGTCAGATCTGACTTGACGGCACACACACACGAAAAATTTTTTTACAAAAAAAAAGGAAAAATAGGGGGGGGGAAGTGGTCTGGGTGAGGGACTGTATAACAATGAAACAACTTTTTTTCCAAATAAAAAATTAGCTGGGGAGGGCAGTGGGGCAGCGAGAAAAAATATGCAACAATGAATGAATGGAAATCCAAGTTCTTTATACACTTACATTAAAATCTCAATTTTAAAAATGCTAACTAAATAAAAAAGCAGCATTTCCCCTACAGAGGAGTTTGAGGATCATACTAAGCACAATGGGAAGCCATTAGATTTATGCAGTTGTGATGTGACATGATTTATTATATTACTCTTCCAAGCTGGAGAATGGACGTTAGGAAGAGTGGAAATCAATTCAGAGACTGGGAAGAGAGGGTGGTGGCTCATGTAGAAGTAGAAGTAGAAGAGGATGATGAGAAGTAGAAAGGGTGGTAGAGGAGTTCAGGACAAGCTGCTAATGGACTGGATGCATTAGCTGGGGGAAAGAAATTAAAGTGACTCTAGATTTTTGGATTGTGCAATTGGGCAAAAAGCAGTGCCACGGGTGGACCCAAGAACACTAGGAGAGGAACAGGTTCAAGTGGTGGAGACCCAGGAGTTCAGTTGTGACCATGCAGTCGCAAATGCTGTTGTGGATTGTGTCCCCCAAATTGTAATATAAGGTAAATGTAAAGACATCATGTGGATGTTTCACAATAACTCCCCATATTTGGATAAGCCAATCAGTTGCCGGATGATTAATGGTGGGATATATCATCCTTAATGTCATCACAGCCCTGATCCAATGGAAGGGGGGGTCCTCCCTGGGGTGTGGCCTATAACATCTTTAATCTTGCTAGAGAGTGAGCAGAGGCGTGGGAAAGGACCTCAGCACTACAAAAAAAAAAGCCAGGCACCAAGTGTTTTTTGGACTCAGGTTCTTTGGACTCCTGTTCTGGGATACTCCTAGAACCAGGAGACAGAAAGCTTTCCCCTAGAGCCAGCACCATGAACTTGGACTTCTAGGTTCCTAAATTGTGGGAGAATAAATTTGTTAAATCTATACATTGTGATGTCTCTGTTATAGCAGCACTAGATAGCTAAGACAAATGCCTGTTAAGACAGCCAACTGAAGGTATTGGTTGGGAGTTCAAACTCAGAGATTGGTTAAGACCAGAGTTGCACATTATATATAGCTGACATTTAAAGCCATGAATGTTAGTGAACCGTTAGAGAAATAGACAAGAGAAGAGGGCAGAGGAGAGAGCTCTGGGGCCCTCCAGTGTGGTGTGTTCCATCAGCACTGGCAAAGGGGAATTAGGAAGAAAACTAAGTGAGATGCTTTCAAACAAATGATATTTCAAGACAGAGTCTGATCAACTGGGTTAAACACCGCTTAGAAATCAAGTGAGATGTACAGTGCATCCAAGGCCATGTTGGTCACTGAAAAACTTGCTAAAAACAACGGGGGTGAAGGAGCAGGCACCTGAATGGGAGTGGGCTGTGAGAGAACAGCTGAGAAAGTGGAGGAGAGGAAGAGAAGACATTTTGTTAGAAAAGTAACAGAGACATAGGGTGGTTGCTGAAAATAATGTCGGTGTCTTGAGAGAATTTTCTTAAATTTGAGAGATACTAAAACAAATGTAACTGGTGATAAAGAATGATCCAGGAGAGAGGCGGAAAATTGAAATTTATTGAAGGCTTACTTAGTGTGTTAAGAGCTTTACAAACATTCATCCTCACAATGTTTTACAGATCAGGCAATTGAGGTTAAATAACTTGCCCAAGGTCATGCAGCTAGAGGTGGCAGAGCTGGGAGGCCACCCAGATTGTCCTGACTTCATGCGTCACCACTCCATTGCATAGGCACACAACCCCCAACACCCAGACACCCAGGACATGCCTTTGCCCTGGCCACAGTGTCCCTGGCAAATCAGAAATTCACTCTCATGCTGGGGGCATATGAGTTTTCCTCCTCCAATGCTGTGGGCAGGGGCACCCCACCCCAGCCTAAACATCCATGCAGCACAGACAGAAGCTCTCCCAGGTCTGTCTGAGGAGCAGAGGCAAGCAGCAGGAGCCCCCCAGAGGTAGGAGGGGAAAGGGACACTTTTGAGGGTGCTCAGCAGGTTTGTTTTTGTGCCAGCTAGTACAAGGGGTTGCTGGGGGCTGCTGGTCCTAACCAGCTGGTGCCTGTGGCCCCAGCAATCATCAAATCTGTCCAGTATGTTCAAGTCAGAGCCCTGTCTCCCGGCTGCCCCCGTTGAGGCTGAGGCTGTGGGGCCGGGTGCTGCGCTCCAGCCGGCGGGCAGACAGGAGCCGTCGCAGAGAGGAACCAGAACTCAGATCCCCACAGCTTCGCAGGTGGAGGCTCTCTCGGCCTGGCCGGCCCCATGGACTCCGGGGCACCTGGTTGGGGACACAGCAGAGGGATCAATATGGTTAAACCAGAACCTTTCCCTAATATCTTGGCTCCCCAGCCTCCTACCTGTTTATGTCCATGAGTTCCATTCCCACTAGGGTCTGGAGCCTTCCTGGACATCTGAAGGAAACGACTGACCAGGCCTCGGCCTGGCCAGCTGCCCTTCAGGTCCCCCAGGGAGTGGGCAGGTGCAGGGCCCGATGGCAAGGGGACTTTCTGGAAGGTGGGCACAGGGCGCCGTTTCTCAGCTGAGTGGGCACGTAGCAACTTGGGGGAAGGGCAGCGGGCCAGGCGGAAGAGGCAGGCTTCAGAGCAGAGCCCTGTGGAGAGATGGAGTGTGTAGGTGGGGTGTGGGGGAGATGGGGCCGCACAGTGCCCCAACTACCCACAGCGCTCCTCTACCTACTGCCTCTCCACACCAGCCACGTGCCTGACCTGTATCCGCAGAGGAAACGGAAGCAGCTTCTTCCTCAAGCACTTTGGTATAAAGGTCCCTGAAGTCAGCTGAGGAGAGAGATAGGGACTGAGGGGTAGTGCCTCTGTGGACATGCTTGCCCACCACCTTCTGTGAGAACTCAAGTCCAGAAGAACTTTCACCATGTCTGTACACCCGTCACCAACCAAGGGGACATCAGCCCTGCCCATGCCTGCCAGCGACTGGATGGAACGCACACAAAGACAAAGACCAAGCGGGCACCACTGCTGCTCTGCCCAGGACCCCGCACACAGTTGTACTAACGACCACTTTCCAACGCAGCAAGAGTTTTATGCTTGGCTCAGCCCTTCTCAATAGGGCTGATGATGTTGGGATTAGTATTATACTCATCTTACAGATGACAAGGTTATGGAACTTGTCTAAGCCGGGAGCATGGGACTAGGTTTCAAAATCAAGATGTCCACTGTTGATCACTAAAGTCATGGATGCAATAACTCTAGGAGCCTCAAGAGTATCTACCACAGGAGTGGACTCACCTCCCCTTCTTCCTCAGGGACACTAGTGTCCCCAACCCTAGAGGGCATCACTAATCCTCTGCCTCTCGGGGCCTGCCCTCTCCTGCACCCAGGGGGCTCACCGATGTCGCTGGAGGTGGTGATGCCTGGGTCACTGTGGGACCGAGGCAGCAGCAGCGGTGGTGGAGGAGCCGGATGAGGAGGCCGGTGCCCCGGTGGGGTGAGGGAACCTGAGCTATCGCTGAAGCGCCGAGTAGGGGCTCGAGTTGGGGCAGCTGCTGCTGGCCGGCTACCTCCCCGGGGGACCCGCCGCCTCAGCTCAGGGAAGCAGGGTCCCACCCAAGGTGGCCAGCCCTCCAGCCGGTGGCAGCTGCGAGCAGCTGTGGGGGCACCCAGTGGGGGTGGGGGAGCCTCAGGGGCAGAGCAGGAATAAGAGCGGGCAGCCCGAGGGGGCCGCCGGGGCAGGGGGCTCTCCTCAAAGGGGCCCCGCAGGCCACAGTCCAGGCTGAGGCAGTAGCCTGCGCGGCTGCGCTGGATGGAGCGGAACAGCACGTAGTCAACAGAGCGCACGGAGCCCTGCAGCTCCAGCAGGCACGAGTCCTCGGATGGGCTGGAGCCCCCAGGGAGGTCACCGATGGCTGACAGCACCAGAGACCCGCTGTCCATGGATACTGTGGGTGGCAGGAGGCGTCGGGTAGTACCAGCAGGCCAGGCCCAGCAGCTCCTCTTGTCCCAGGCCCAGCCTCTTCCAGGCCTCTCTACCTCTAGTGTTATCTCAGAGAAGAGAGACTACTCTTGGCACGCAAAAAGCCATTGCCTAGGCTCTCGCTGTCCCCAAACCACCAATTCAGCCTGTCTCCCTTCCCTTAGCTACAACCAGCCTCACCTTCCCTGGCAGCCCTGCCCCAAGCTCTGCTCACCGTCTACAATGGAAGCCACCCGCTCACAGATGCAGGAGCCATCATGAAGCTGAGGATCAAACAGAGTAGCCTGCAGGAGAGAAAGAGGTCAGGAGTCCAGCCCGACACAACAACATAGCCAGCCCCAAGCCCTGGACAGAGCCCTGGAGAGTGGCTGTTTGAAAGTTTACTCATTTGAAAAATAGAAGTTAGATTTCCTATGAACTTGACCTCCTTGCCAGGCTCTCAGGAGATCCAACATTGACTGTGAAGTGCTACTCCTATAAAGTTCATGAGGACTACTATTATCTCTGCCCACTCAGTTTCCCCCATTCCAGCCTGCTCCTCTGCCCTGCTCTTACCTGGCTGTCTCCTCTCAGCCCCATGACAGCCTCATAAGAAGGGGGACAATCAGTAGGGTACAAGGGCACCGGACTGTCCATGGAACCATTGTAGGTGATGCTAGCAGGGTGAGGGAGCATGTCAGTCTGCAACACAACTCTTACTCCGCCAAGATCCCTCCCCACCAATGCAACTCTAGCTCCAACCTCCTCCCTTGGCTTCCCCAACAGGACAGCCAAACCTCACCTCTGTGCATCCGTTTCTGAGCTGCAGGTGTACTCTGGTGGGTAGTAGGGGGGTGGGGGCACAGGTGGCACGAATTCTTCCAAGTCCAGCATGGTATGTAGAAGAGGGGCTGGGGGTGAGGATGCACAACCCAGAGACCCCAAGGGGCCTGAGATTGATCGCTCAGGGGCCAACTGCTAGGGTATAAACAGAGCAGCAACTTTGATTTTACCCCCCAATTCCTCCCAGCACCAATTATTTTTCTGCCTACCCCCCTCTGGCCCCACCCTCCCCAGGACCAGGCCTTTCCCTCACTGTGCCTCTCTCTACCCTGGATCTCCAACTCTGGCCCTACTCACTCAGAGTGTCTTCTCTCTGTGACCCTGTCCCTCATGCAGAATCCCCACCTGCTCTACTGTCTATCAAAACATCAGTCTTAAAAAAAAAAACAAACAAAAAACAAAAAACATCAGTCTTTCCTCCTCATTCAAGACCTTCTTGACCCTGCCCCATCCAGAAGTCTCTCCTAGTCTTAGTCTTTAAAGGTCCCTTTCCTGGCCTCAGACTGGCATTACAGACTTCATCCTTGTCATCCCCCTCCTCACCATCCTTCAAACCTCTCTAGCCGACTGGCCTACTAGGTGATGCAAAGGCTCAAACCCTGGCTCCACCCTCACCGTGTGCACAAGGTCCAGGGAGAAGATTTGGATACAGCAGACGATAGCAGAGAGGGTACAGATTATGGCGCCACAGATGGTGAGGCCACAGACACTGAAGAGTAGGTTCTAGAGAAAAGAAAGGCGTGAGGTTCTGGGGAGGGGTAAATCCCACTAGTTGGACCCAAAAGGACCCCAGAAGGTGGGGCACAGAGCTAAGAGCTATAACTAGGGAAGCAAGGGTGGGAAATAGGAGGCTGGTGGAGAAAAGGGGCCAGGGGGTGCAGCTCACCTTGAGGGCCCCACGGGCTTCATCACAGGTGGAGTTAGGGGACACTTTCAGTTCTTGTCCTGACTCTGGACAGGGCCGGAGAAGGGGAACAGAGGGGCAGCACACACACACCTTTCCTTCCTGAGGGGGTGGGGGGGTCAAGGCAGCCTGGGTTAGGACAAGCGCAGGTGTCCAGTGCATCTCCCCCAGCTGGCTCCTTCTGGCCCTCCTTTCTCAAATCTCACCATGGAACAGTCTCGGAAGTCTCGGGCCAGCTGAGCATTCTTACAGGAGAGAACAGAGCCCGCCATGCTGAGCATGACACAGAGCACCGAAAGCAAGGAGAAGAAGGAAATCTGGGGAGACAGGTTGCAGCCTCAGGGCTAGGACCCACAGAGTTGCCCGGTTTTGCTTCCCCAGAGCCCCTTCCACCACGAAAGAAGCCACTCTCCTTCACCAACACTTTGTGCCTGGATGGCACCAACAAAAAAACCAGTTCCCTCTTATTGTTGTTCGGTTCAGTCAAGTAGAATACAACTCATAGACACGCTATGAACAACAGCCCCCTAGCACTGGGTGTCTGCCTCCCACAGGGCTCCGGACCCTGGCACCTACCACTAGAGTAAATGGCCGCTTCCAAGACACGATGCCAACCACCCCGGAGAACGCCAGCTAGGGACAGAGTGTGCACAGGCTCAGTCTGGCAGGGGAGGCACCTGAGTGAGCCCCTCACCACAAGGTGCACCCAGCCCTGTAAGGCAGGAAAGGACCAGGAGAGGGAGGAGAGGCCAGGATGTGGATTTACAGCTGGTGTGGAGGGGTGGGGCCTGAGGAGCATCTCCCACCCAACAGCTGTGCACCAACCAACTCACCGAGAACCCAGCCCAAGATGGGCAGGACCTCTTGATGCTCTCGGTGGTGGTGACGGAGGAGGCCACCATGCTGAAGGTGACCACCAGGATGCCCAGGAGCACCTGGGCCAGCCCCAGCGTGAGCAGGGCCTGCAGCCAGGGCCGGTGGAGGCGGAGGTGGGTAAGGCCCCGGGTGCTAGGCCGGCTGGTCAGCGAGCGACTTGAGTCACTAGGCGAGGGCATGATGCCTGCCGCCCGGTTGCCTGCGCCTCGCTCGGCCCGCCCTGGCGCTTGGGAGCATCGCAGAGGCGCCCAAGGCCCCGTCCTTCCTCCTCTCCACCCCCCTCGCTCTAGAGCCCACCCCCTGGCTGGGTCCCGTGGGACATGGCCCCGGGACGCCAGCTGAGGGGGACCCCAAGGGAGGGGCGTCACGGAGGGACCGCTGAGTGTTCCCTCCCCACCACGGGCACCGGGCAGGCACCGTGCCCGGGGCGGCGGTGAGGACACGGGGGCACCGGCTCATCGCATCTCCCTAGGGAGGAGGGCGCTGAGAAGGGAGGGTCCCGGGGAGAGAGGACGGCGGCAGTCCGGAGCCAGGGAGGGTGCGGAGGGTAAAGGAGAGAAGGATGGGGAAGGAGTCTAAAGAAGAGGGGAGGGGTCAGCGCAGGGGGACTCTAGAGGTGCGGCCGTCTCCCGGTGGGGAGAGGCCGCGATGCCGCCTTCTTTTGGGCCGCTAGCCCCGCTCCCCTAGCTCAGGATGCAGCCGGTCCAGGACTAGAGGAGGGGGATGGGGATGAGGGGCGTGGCGGAGAGGGCCAGCGCGGTGTGCCCTGGGAGTTGTAGTCTTGTTCAGTTGTAATCTCGGGAGGTGGAGGACAGCACGCAGGGGCGGAGCGAGCCGTTCTATCCGCCAGTCAGGTGAGCGCTCCTTAAGCCCGTGTCTCTGCCCTCCACCAGGGACAGATGCCAACCATCTCAGCCTTCACATAAGCTCCACCCAGTTTCGCTGTTCCTGGCAGAGGCAGCCATTCTTCTGTTATTAATGGAGAAGGGTGGGGAGCAGGGATCCCCGGTGGATCAGCGTTTCCACATCCACCCATGGGCTTCCCTCCTTCTTCCTGCGCCAGCCATCTGGGCTGTGCCGCCCAGCCCCCTCAAACTCTGAGTTTACCCTAAAGCCAAGGCCCAACTCCCTTCAGAAGTTCAAATCCCACTTCCATTCCAGGTCCTTCCACACTAAGTCTTTCCCAAGGCCTAAGTCAATAAAATTATAAAATAAGCATTTCAATTCCAGTTGCATTTTCTTTTTTATTTAAATAACCGAAGCAAGAGTCTTGGCACAACAGAGGGGAGCTGGGGTTGGGGGGGTCTGAGAGACGGCAGCAGTGAGGCCTGATGGGGCATGGGGTTGCAGTTGTGACCTAGTCACAGTGGGCTCCCCGCCCACCGGGGGCAGGCTCAGCAGTCATGGCTGTGGGAATGGGACACTGGAAGAAACCTCAAATAGTGATGCCTCTTCAAAGTCCCGGAGACCCCAGGGATGGGAGCTATGTCTGCTCCCTCAAGTGGCAGGGCCAGGGATCCCAGTCAGGGGTCACGGGGCTCGGAAGGCATTTTCAGCAGCCCCAGCGGCTGCATTGGCAGCTGCAGTTCGCACCGCGGGGTTGGAAAAGACACCAGCAGCAAATTCTTGCTGGGCCTTCTGAAAGCTGGCACCTGTGCGGCGATACAAGGAGTGAATCTGCAGGCAAAGGGCAGAGATATTACAGTAGGTAGGTTCCAGCCACTGCTACCCAACCCAGCTAAGACCATCACCACCACTCACCAACAGCCTCTTCCTCCACCTCCAGGCTCCACACACGTACAAGTGCACACACACACAAAGGCACACACAGAGAAATACCTTCAGTACCACCCCTACCACTAGCCCCAAGATCCATTAGCTGAGAATTCACCCATCAATCTAACCCTCCCCAGTTTCACCCAAGCCCCCAGGGACCCGTGACCTCATCGTTCTGGCCCTCCCTTCAACCCAGCCCTCACCCGCTTCAGCATCACAATTCCCAGCACAGCAATGCCGGTGAAGAGCAGTGCAACCAGAAGCATGAGCACAGCAACAGCAGTGTTGATTTTCAGCACCACTAGAGCCGAGATCCAGCCACTGTAAAGAAGGGGAGGCATGTGGCAGTGAGGATGGGCGGTGAGGATGGGTTGCTCCTAAATTGGGTGCTATCTTCCCAGCTCCACTAGCTACAGTCACAAGTACCTGATTCCTGCCCGTTTTATTAGTGGTTAAAGCAAGTACTAGCTTTCCTGTCAGTCTGGCAGCATGCCACAAGCTACAATCTAGACTATATGCTCTTTTAACAGTCTGATCCTAGATACAAAATCATTAGCCTCTAGATCTACAAACTTTTCCAGGCCCCCTCACTCCAGACATGTCCATCGCTACTGAAGACTCTCCCAATGCTCTTCAACTGAGCAGAGAGGATTTACCACAGGCAACCTAGCCTTCTTCCCTTCCGTTCATGTCTGTCTTCTGTTCCCTTGGGCTCTCTGTACCTTGAAAGTCTTGTCCTGCCTCTCCCATTAAATTAGTATCCCTCAAAGATAAAAACCACATTCCCCATTTTGCTGAGTGAAATCAGTCACAAATGGACAAACATTTTATGACATCTAGGGAAAGATTTACATACAGAAAGAATCACTTTCTGTTGGTTACTAAGCATGGGAGAGGTGGAAGGTGAAAAGGAAACCTAACCATACATTTCTTATTCCTTAACTACTTCTTTCCCAGTACCCACTGCAAGCTTGATCTACAGTGTGGAAAGGAGGGGCAGCAGCACGAACCTGAACCCCCAACCTGGGATGCCAATGGCCTGGAGCACAAAGAGTATATCCTGGGCGAAGAAAATGAAGAAGAAAACGAAGAAATTGAATGAACTGTCACTCCTGCAAGGACAAGAAAAACAATAGGGCAGAAGAATCAGGAATGGAGGAAAAGACACAGGCTCATCCCAGGTCTGCCATTCCTGGCGGGCAACCTGCTTACCGGAAAGCCTTGTACATGGGGCGATACCAGCAGACAAAGGAGCAGGGAGTGAAAAGGAGGATCCAGAGGATGGAAAGCCCAAAGCCTGCGCCATTGCTTGTTTCCACACAGAAGCTGGCGAGGCAAGCGAGGAAGTTCAGG